TGGAAGTGGGCTTTCATCGCGCGTGTCAAGGCGAAGTCGTTCCCCTTTACACAGAGTTAGTGTTGCTAGTACCACTCTGCCATCCAGTAGTGATTCCAGCAGCTCATCCATTAATACTGTTGAATCAGGCAGTGGCACAGCCTCTGTGTCAATGGAGACTGGAGAGGCTGTGTCAGAACCCGTTGTTCCAACGGAGCCAGCTGTAGAGATGGTTGAACGTGAAAGTGAATCACAAGTAATAGGAGCAGGAAGTTCAGCAGTGCGAAGACATCCGACCATCATGTTGGACCTGCAGGTGAGAAGGATTCGACCTGGTGAAAACCGCGATAGAGACAGCATCGCCAGCAGAACACGATCTCGTGCTCGCGTTGCTGAAAATACAGTGACATTTGAAAGCGACAGTGGTGGATTTCGACGCACCATTTCTCGCTCTGAGCGAGCTGGGATTCGCACCTACGTCAGCACTATTCGGATTCCTCTGAGGCGTATCAGTGAGACAGGCCTGGGTGAACCCAACTCCACTGCCCTACGTTCAATCTTGCGCCAGATCATGACTGGATTTGGAGAGCTTAGCTCCCTAATGGAGACAGAGGCCGATTCCGAAACTGTTGCACCTAACCATTCAGATCCTAATGGTACAAACGGTAACAACAGCCCAGGCAGTCGCGTGAATACAAATGAGAGTGCACCTGGCCAGGTTAGTACAGGTGGGGTAGTTCACGAGAGGGTGGGGCTGGTGAGAAGTGATGAGGACCAGAATGGGCAGGCTAGGCTCGGAGGAGTAGTGAGCACCACAGATGGACGGCCTACCAGCAGGGACACCAACAACCTAGTAGAGAACGGTACTCTACCCATCTTGCGGCTGGCACATTTCTTCCTGCTCAATGACGAAGAGGATGATGAACATCCGAGGGGCCTGACCAAAGAGCAGATTGACAATCTATCAACGCGTACGTATGGTCAGGCCAGCCTGGAGGGGGAGATTGGTCGAGCCTGCAGCGTCTGCATAAACGAGTATGTCCAAGGCAACAAGCTGCGCCGCCTGCCCTGCTCTCACGAATTCCATGTCCACTGCATCGACCGCTGGCTCTCTGAAAATAACACCTGCCCCATCTGCAGGCAGCCTATACTTTCAGTGCATCATGACTGACCTATTATCTCACAAACACAACTATCCCGCTCCTGGCTCCCTGAACTGAGCAGATCCAAGTGGGCTTTGCATGTACATAGCGCTTTCATGGTTTAATTTCTTTGATTGCTCATTGTGTTGAAGAAGGTTGAACCAAAAGTGTGGAATAAGAAACTATAAATGCAGAGAATAAACAAAACTTTATTTTTTTAGACCTTTGGTTTTCAACAACTCATTATTTTCTTTTCTTCTTCCTGTGACCTAGTTCGCTTGACTCTGCGATGACGCTTCAGAAACTTGTCTATAGAAGGCATTGATGCTTATTAAGGAGCTCCTGTAGCTGCTGCTGAATAGTCTCACTTTAAATCTTTGATGTCTGACACGCGGCAACGTCTCTGTCACGGCTGGACTATACAAATCACTTCTAGGCTCGATTTCTCTTCCAGTATAGGATGTAAATAACTCACCACTGCTTATATTTAAGGGTTTTGAAGAAAGCTGCTCTTCACATGCGATTTATTCAGAATGGAAGCAGGAAGCTTAGCTTATTTTAGCTTCATTTTTCAACATCCATTTTAAAGTGTCCCATTACAATTGGTTAAGAATTGTTTGATTTGTCGGGTATAAATGAGGAATGTCTTTAATTTTGAAACTATACTCTGTCCATCTAGTAGTATTTGTTTAAGCCCTTAAGTCCCATATAGACACAACATAGTAGTCATCCATTAAAGTAACCTGCTAAAAACAGCCACTTTGAAATCATCAACATTAGCCATATGAGCAGCACAGTTTCAATGAAATGCAAAATGTGATAATCAGGAATTCAGACTTGTCAGTATGAGTTGTGCAATGCAGAGGGGAAAAAACAGTATTGTTTGTTTTGCTGTTCATTGTTGTTTACATTGTAACGCCTGAATATCATCTCCACTTAAAGTCTTGTTAAGAAATTGATGTTTGTTCTTGGTTCCTGTTTTTAGGTCCACACCTGACAGGACCTTTGTCACGAGGTTGCGTAGTTAGCCTCTCACATGGAATTAAAAACAAAAAGAAAGAAATTGATTTTCAGTTTTTGCGGTTCTCTGGCTAACTCATAAGTCTTTATTCATGAGACTGGTGCAGGAAAAATGTTTTTTCGATAATGAACTTGTCCAGAAATGTTCTGCTAATGAGAGCCTGTTTACTCATTTTTTTGCCCCCCTGATTGGGTCTGTGCAATGATAGCTATCTGTTAAAGTTTCATTGCAAGTGCACACGTGTGAATAAGGCCGTGCTAGTAATATATTTCTCTTTGCTCTTTGTTTGTTTTTACATAACATGGACAAATGTTGCATTTGTAGTGTAAAACAGGTGGGATATTTAGCTGAGCCACCCAGTCAGCATTTTCCCCACCAGTGTCACTTTGTACATCGGTGATTGCACAAGAGCTACTCTGCCTGTGCAGTTAACACATCACTAACAAAGCTGCAGGATTTGTGCAGTTTAGTCTGTAAGTGTGTGTGTGCGTGTGTGTGTGTGTGATAATTATGTGCGTGTGAGGGGGGGGGGAGGTCCGGTGTACCAATCAAACCTGGTTCTCAGAAGGCTTCTCTCTGGTGCATGTTCACCTTAGATAAAATTGTGGGCAGTTCAGGAGTAACTATTTATTCTGTTTGTATTTAATAAGATGGAAATCGACCTCTGAAATATGAAATGTTACAATGTGATGAGAGTAAATGAAATGGTTATGATGAACATGTTACTATGTAATAAAATGAAGACGGTTTTCTTCTCTGCTCCTTAACAGTGTAATAAAATGCCGCTTTGTTATGCTGGAATTTCTACTGTATGGATGTATATGGTTGAAACTGTCTGCGCAGTGATTACGGCCAGGGCATCATCCCATGCCACTCTTTAGAGGATATAATAGATTAATCATCACACTTTAAATCAAACAACCACCACCAAAAGAATTCACTTTAATTTTATTATGGTGATCTTACAAGTGTAATGAGGAGAGTAACTTTAAAAAAAAAAAAAACCACACACACAGAAAAAGAACAGTTATTGAAATAATCTGTGTTAAGATATGAAAAACAAAGTTTGGACACTGTTAGTTCTCAGTTTTCAAAGCTAATTCATTAAAATGTACTATGAACACACACCTATCTATACGAGATCATTTGCATAATTATTAAACTAATATACAATAAGCTCAAACGTCCCAATGTTTTTATACTGAAAAATCAAGCAAAAGTATCAAATTTCACTCACACTCAGCGAAACTGATCATGAGCTACATCGATGTAAACCATATATTTGATTGGCACTTTGGGCAAGTTTTCAACTTGTAGCAATTTTTACATTTATATTTCATTGTATTTATTTTTCTATTAGGTACCTACTTCTCTTCTCCGTGTTTTCATTTTGTTTTATAGACCTGTTTACCTGGTTGCCTTAGCGACAGAAAGCGAAATAGAGATTACACGCGCTTAATTATGCGCGTCTTTGGCGTGCGCACCAGCGTGCCATGGATACGCAGAGACTCTGTCTCAGTGACGTGCGCTTCTTCCAGGTTCCCAAGCAGGCCAGAACGACCCTCGGTCCTCCGGGAAACGTGGCAGATGTAAACAGCAGCACTGGCTACCAATAATCGGATCTATTTTTAAAGACCTTGTTAAATCTAAACTTCCACTCAGCACTTTTAATTTACCTAAGCGATAAAAGCATAAACAATTATATAATAATATATAAACTTTTTAAAAAGTACTTTGAAAACAAAGTTGCTGAGAATTTCTAATAACAAGGGAAATCTTCTAAAAGACTTAGCTGTTTGTTCAGTAAAATGTTTCTGGCTGTATCTTTATGTATTTATCTCACACTGAGCCTCTAGAGACCGGGAGCGCTTACGCGTCTTATCCTCATCCCATGTGCGCTCCCGTGGCTTGTCTGAAGCAGTGTCATAAAGCAAAACCGAATACGAGCAAAAATGTCTCGCCTTTCCTTAAAAATATGAGCCTATTAAGCGTTCACTAAAACCATTTCCAAGTAAAATAAAATAAGATTTAAAAAAAGAAAAGAAAATATATTGTGAAAAAGTGGCTGTTTTCACAATATAACAAACATTTACAGTATAGATATACTGTATATAAATATATATATATATGTTATAATATATAAGATATATATTTTTCATTTATTTATTTTATGCACCTTTTATACTTTATATTTTAGACACAGAAAGGCAGCCAAATGATAGTTGGCTTTTAATATAGAATATAGTGAAAAAAAGATTTAAAATAATTTCAAGTGTTTTGTGTGTGTATATAAAAGGAAGACTTTTATTTTATCCTTGTGACAATAAAGCTTTGAAACTTGAAACTACATTTTGCTATTAGCAGGTTATGTAGCGTGACAGTTATTAGTGTTTGTACTGTTTGTTTTTTTCACTTAAAAAAACCCCAATTAATTTATTTTCTATCCTCTTAAAGCCCGAGGAATAAAACAATTGCCAGAAAATTATATATATAGTTTTTGAAAATGGAGGATTTATTGAACCATCTGATTAAATTAAAAAAATAAAAAGAAATATTAATTTCTAATATATTTATTTTTATTTTTCATTTTATTGCTCAAAAACTTGTATAATTTATTTCGGTTTTTCATTAGGGAAAAATCACACGGATGACGTCTCAAAAAAAGGTGGCGGAAATACGATACAGTCGTCTTTACAGAATCCGAATCAAATAGAGTTATAGGGTTAAATAACCCGTTTTTCTCCTATACTGGACTTTGTAGGTTTAAATATGCTTCATAAATAAAACTGAGTGCACCGAAAGCAGAGGCAGGTCACCTTTTAACCGCAAACTTAAGCGTTAATTGACCGGCCGATGTCATGAATCCAGTTTATTATCGTCTAACGTAATTTTATTTTGAAAACACTGACCGGAAGCAACTATTGTATCTAGTCTGACGCGACGCTGGAGCAGGCTGCCCTCTACACCACATCTCCGCGGTTTGACCGAGAAATAATGATCGCTGAGAAGCAGCAGCAGCAGCATCGGCGGCAGCGGCGACCGCAGCCCGAGCCCATGCAGAGCGTTGCTCCCCTGCTCCCCTCTCCGTGAGCATGACACCGCTCTGGCCTCCTCGTTCTAGCCGCACCGACTCTCGTTCACCGCTCGCAAGATGTATTTCAACCGGAGAGCCAAGAAGATCCACAGCGAGGGAGGTAAGCAGCACGAAGAAACGTGTTATTTAATCTTTGCACGACCCGGGTTCCGCCCGCCGCTCTCTGCTGTCACACATCACTGTGAAGTGAATCCCACTAACGGGCCTGTCCTTTTTTCTGCATACAGCGGCCTGTGTAGAAAATCGTGCGCTTTTGATATGTGCTTGGCATAATAACGGGGAACCGTTTTATTCGGGACTGCGGCATCCACACGGAGGGACATGCCGGTGTTTATCCTCCAGTCTCGCTCATTTCTTGGCACCGGAGGGGAATGCAAAGGGCAAGCAGACTGCAGGTGCCTGCTTCAGGTCTCATTTAGAATAGCCTGGCATCATTATGGAGGAGCCAAGTGAAGGAATTTCTGATGACCTCAATAGTATTTATCTTCCACGGGTTAAATGTGTGACCTTATCAATAAATATTGACTGCCTTGTGTAAATCTGACCTATGGCCTTGTTATGGTGTTATATAATTATGCTGTAACCGTTTTGTGTTCCTCCTGTGCTGCATCATAGTGTCCGCGATTGACTCTTAGAAAAAAAGACAATGTATTAACCTACTTTTGCTGTGATTGAAAGCGAAATATTAGCAATATAAGGTGACAAATTTACCCCCAGGCCTGCAGATCGGTCCAAGAACAGCCTATTACCTCGCCGACTTAAATGCCACGTGACTCTCTAAAGCGCTCTCCTTATCTCACCTTTATCTCAACCTTAAGGGCATCCACATCCACAACGTGTTCAGTTTTAAAGTGCTTCACACCCTTATGTTGAATAAAGGGATGTTTCAGTCTGTTGCTCACGCGTGAATCTGCCTCATGCAACAGGATGCATTGAACCCCCGTTCATGCAAGAACCTGCACTGTCTCAGTTTTTAGCAGGAAAATGTCCTCATCAGCTAACAAGCTGGCCAGAAGGTGAGGATGCTGAAACAACCTGCTGCATCAGATGATTTCACACATGGCAAGCAGACGCTGGATTGGATTGTCCTGGAAAAGAAGAGCACGTGTTCGCCTCATCCAGTGGCTTTTAATAGTGACCGGCACATATTGTCAGGCTGCTCTGCTGTTGTGTGTGTGTGTGTGTGTGTGTGTGTGTATCTGTGTGTGAGTGTGGCTGCATGCCTCTTGCAGCTTCCAGAAATAGAAACCAGGGTAAATTGTGAGCGCCAACTGGGCCATACTATCTTCAGGCCAGAAGTTCCACATATTTATTTGTTGTTAAAAAAAATGCATTTCCACTTTTTACAAGCAGAAGGTCAAATGGTTAAGAAAGTGACATTGTTCCTGTTTTGTAGATCCCTCCCACCCACTTATTATTTGCATATATAAATATGTTTTAAACTGAATATCAGGTGGTCTCATGATGAATTTGTTACCTTATTTACACTGTGATTTTCAGATATAATCCTGCAGCTTTTTTTGGTTTCGTGGGGTCTAAAAGTTGCTTTAAAGCTTTTATACTTTAAGCACAGGATGGTAGTCTAGTCAACGTCTGCATGTTTCCGCCTGGGTTCCTCACGGTGCTTTTACTGTAATCTCTTGAAGCCTGACCGCTTGATTCTTTGCTCCAATTAGCGAGCTGCCACATGCCTGGCAATGACGTCTGCAGCTGCCAGTCTGTCACATTTATTTACACACATTTGCAAAGAGAGTTATAGTTTTAACTGTTTGTGTTTAAGAGGAGCCTTAGAAATATAAGGCATGTGTGTAGTAGTGAGTGCTGAGTAAAAGCATTCTGCTCCATTTGAATATCAGTGTAAGGCCACATTTTCTACTAGTGTTGATGTGCTTTCTTAATGTGAGTCATGCAGCTCAGCCAACTGTCAACAATACATCTGTTTAGGGAAGATAATGACTGGTTGTCATGGCTGCCAAGCTACCTAAGATACCATTTAGGAGATAACAGGGAGGCCCAGTAAGCTGCTGAAACAAGGCATTTACATGAAGTAGCCAGGAGGAGGCACTCCTGGGCAAGCTATGAGGGGTTTGGTCAAAGTGATTTCTGAGCAGCTGTTCAGGCTTGCATCCATCATATGCTGGCATGAGTCTCATCTCAGCTCACACACAAACAAATCATCTGGGTAGTCACTGACACGTGGATGTGCTGTGTGAGGTACAGTCTGTGTGTACTGACTTGTTGTCTTGTTTGTGTGTGTGTGTGCTGTCCTCTCTCGCCGTGGCCTCTCTCTCTTGGCGTCCACAGAGCAGTTAGTGTTGACCACCATTAGGCAGGAGTCTCCTGAGCTGCAGGACCCAGGCCAGGGCGCCGGTGCTACCATGCGTGCCCGCCTCGCAGACAGGTTTGACAAAAGTGAGTTTGCTCGAATTAGACTGGATGATGCCCCCATCTGTGTCCGGAGTCCCAAGGTGCATGTACCAACAGCTAGGGGCAGGCGTGTCTCAACCCCCGGCCCTCAAGAGCTACAACATTGAGTTACTCACATTAGGATCTCAGGGTCTTTGCAGAAAAGGTTATGACACGTTATCACTGTTGTGGACTGATCATCTGTAGCTCCTTGGGGCCTGGAGTGCGATGAATGCTGAACAGGACCCTCTCACTGCATGTGCTTGTAGATATTGGTGGCATACCTGTAGCAGTTCATGCTGGTGAAGACAAAGCTATATGGGGTTTTTATTAAGCAAGTGCATCTGCATGCTGTAGAACTCAGCACATGCACGCATAGATATGGCATGCCTGAACAGCATGTACAAGAACACTGCTGCATGCATGTAGGTACGACTCTGGGTATAGAGAGGGGCATGGGAGTAGCTGCATGTCGATGGGTCTTTTTTTATGTTTTATGGCTTTAAAAGATTTACTTTCACCTGTTTGTGTGTGTGTGTCCATAATGCAGTGTCAGTGTGTGTGTGTGCATACATTAGTTTAAGGTGTATGAGCGTGTTGCAATCGCACCTGTGGGATTATTAGGTTATGGATGAGCAGCAGGTGAAGTTGCAGAGCAGACACAGAGGGGATTATCACGCTTGCTCACTTGGGCCGTAAGAGGCTTGCCCGCCTTACTTCCTACTCTGTCAGAGCGGCCAATGGACCCACTGGGAATGATAGACGCCAGGTCTCCCGAGACCTGCAGATAGGGCGTGCAGGTCACCTAAGAGAGCAACGACAGCCATGGGACGCAGGGGTCGCCAAGGCAGACGGCGCTCTGTCGGTAATGCTTTCCTGACAACACACAGCCATTTTATTCTTGACTGGATTCAATGCATGTAGGCAAAGATGTGGGGTTTTTTGGGTGTTTCTTTTTTCTGAACTTCATTTAACGTTAAATGGGGAGGGGGGAGTTGGTGTTTAGCTCAAGAACACTTTGACAGGCCTTCTTGTTGTAGAGGATGACAAATGGAGGTTTTGCTGTTAAGGGATGAGCTAAGACACTTTCCTGCCATTCTTTGAGGCAGGGATACCAAACACAGAAATAGAGTACTTTCATTTGCATTGTACATTCAGATAGTTGTTCAGATAATGAAAACATAGAATGAGCCAGAGGATCTGTCCCAAGTGTGGCTTGTTTGGAGTGGAAGTTCTTCACCAACTGAGGATAATTGTATTCTGCTATAACTGCTGTTAATTAGTAGCTATTATCTTTTTGGCTAATTTCATTTCTGAGCTGAGAATTGTGTCTGCACCAGGCATGATTGGATTAGATGCCCAAGCATCTCTGAAGCTACATTCGTGCCATTTCAAACTCTATTCTGACAGGCAGTGAGGGACACCGCTTGACAGTGGAAAGCTGTGGGCGCAGCACCGGGGCGGAGTGTCTGGTGAAATATGCTCTGCCATACTGGAAAATGTTGATGAATTATGCAGCTCCCATCTATGCATTATTTATAGCCTGGCCAGCTTTTTAAACTGTGAAATTTTGGCACGAGGCCAGATCAGATTGGATTCAACACAAACCCACAACAAATTAACACCGTGTATTAAGATATTATGAAGCTTATGATAAGTAATATGCTTTGTTTTCCCATCTGAGGCCCTTCGCAAACGCTGAAACATCACATTTTGCCTGCTAGCTGTGCTAAATGTGTTTGGCTTAATCGCCTTCTCATGACACATGTATTCTCAGCAGAAAGGTGCGTAAAAGATTATCAAGCATCGTTGCATAATGGATGGACGTTTTCCTCGGAGCATATGATTGCTCTGAGGAAAGGAGACGTGTTTTTGTTTAAGACTCACCAACAGAATGGGTGGCTGGTAGCATCCTGCAAGCAGAGTAAGAGATCAGCGTGTTAATTGAATTGGGATCAGTCTAGTCTTACTTGTTGTGGCTGCAGGTCATCAGACCTGCGCTACCTGTGTGTCTGTCTTGGGCGCTTCACGTGTAATTGACCTGGCTGCTCTCTGAATGGGGTTTGCTGCTGAGTCATCGCTGGCCTGTTCGGTAATGAGTTACGGAGGTGGTGGCATTTCTGCTCCATCAGAGATGAGTTACTGAGGCATTAATCTCCTCAGAAATGAATTATAGCTCGAGTGGGTTGATGAAAAAGCCATTATTGATCTCCTTGGAAAGGTGTCTACAGGGGTTTTAAAAAGTGAAGTGGAAGGATGAAGTTTGTTCAATAAAAATGTCTGCCCATGTAGAAATGACCAAAAAAAGGCTGAAAACATCAGAGGTGCTCGATGGCATTATAGTTGGCATGCATTGCCGTTTATTACCTTCACCTTTGAATGTTCCTTGATCACTTCCTCGCAGCTCTTTACTATCTCAGTTGACTTTGTTGCAGTTTGCACTGTGGAGAGCTGAGCTGTGATTGGGTCTTAAATCTCCGTGTGGTCCAGAGGTAATAGCTAATGGAGATATAGAGATAAGAGGCTGTTCATTTTCTGTGGGCTTGGTTAGACTTTGACCCTTCCTCTGTGTCATGTGCGGACACGTCGCGGGCTTGTGTGGAGCGGTTGGAGTGCGCAAACTCTTGAAATGTCGAGCAGTTTTGAGGTAAAAAGCAGAAAACACGAAAAACTCACAAATATAATACCACGGAAATACGTTGGGTTCACATAACTCCCTGGTAAACTATTAAATAGGTGTAGCCGTTTCCTGTAAGCACACGTAACCTTGTCTCTTTCAGTGGAAAAAGTCTGATGGGCCAGCAGATTTGATCACGTAAGCCTGGCTCGCTTACTTCTGGGTAATTTTACAGTTTATTGGCTACTTTAGAGCCGCAAGCTTGAGTGGAATATAATAGTATTAAACTGTTTGGTTATTGATGAGGGGAGAAGATGACTCGTCTATTGTTGGAGTTCGGTAGTGCTGCAGAAATAGAGTTTCAGGACTGTGGAAATTCAATCTTGCAATTAGCCTGCTGTTGTTTTCACTTACAGATTCACTGACAGAGAGTACACAGATCCCAACAAACTCAGAGCATTGTGATGCATATGATTTCATTATGCGTTATATTTGCAACAGCTTTTAGGGAATAGTATAACAATGACACAGCTCGTACATTTGGCCTATTATACATTGCAATTTTGGGCATGCAGAAACACAAACGACTATATAATCTATACAACCTGCAAGAAGTGACTGTTGCTGCTGTTGCAGAGGCATCACAGTGGAGGGAAGCAACACGAAGTGATCTGATGGATAGCTCCAGCTTCACGGATGTTATTTGACCCATCTGGTAAAGTGCCACTAGACCTTAAGGCGATATCAGGCTTCTGGCCCTTTAAAGACGAAACCCCGGCTTTGCCCCTCCGCAGCACTGAAGGAGCTCCATATGGCTTCCTCTCCTTGTCTGAGCTGGTAACAGCGAGCGGCTCGATACCACACCAGAGGGAGGAGATCGTCCAAAAAAAGAGACGGATAAAGGCTTCAAGAGGCGGCAGGTGGCCAGATGACACGGCGGCGGAGCTTCTCGGGCCAGTATCTTTCAGCACCGGGGCTGGGAGTTTCCTGCTCAGCAGAGCCGAAGGAGGGCAGAGGGAGGACGGGCGTGCTGCTGCATCTGTCCTCGCCCAGGTTCGCCGTTGTTCCAGCTGAGTAAACTGTGGCGTCCCGACCTGTTTGGGTGTCCGTCACTCCCCTAACGGCTCCACAGAACCGCACTTGCTCCGCGTTAATGCGCACGCTTGATGATGAAAAACTGCCCGGCTCCCGGAGCTCATGCGGGGGTGAATGAGCGGAGATCACGACGCTTTAAAATGGTTGGAGACGACAAAGCCGGGAGGGCGGGCGGGGAAGCAGCGAGTCTGCAGGAGGAAAAGCGTGGTGCATCCTACTCTGCCACTTTCCCCCCCCTTTTTTTTTTTTTTTTGATAATTTGTTCTTAATGATGGTCGCGATGCGCGAGGAGGTTTCTCAGTTTTACATTTGAGCAAGTTGAAGTACTGATTTAAAAAAAACAACAATAACAAAAACCAAACCGACCCGGTGTGTTTGTTCGCCATTGTGCATCCCTCAGCACATCCATTATACGCGGGGGGTCCCGTGGGCGTCGGGAAACGCGCGTGTGTGCATTGACGGTACCTGAAAGACAAGAGGGGGGGTGTTTATAACGGGAAACGTCATTGAATCAACCCCGCCGGCTTCAGCATACATCAGCATACAGTAGCCTCTAGTACTAATTAGTCGCCCTCGCTTTTGAACCTAAACCACGTCTCCAGTCTCTGTCTCTCTCGCGCTCTCTCTCCCCTTCCCTCCCTATCTCTTTCTCTCTCTCTCTCTCTGCCTCTCATTCTCTCTCGCACTCACTCAGCCTCGCCTCTCTCCCATCAATCCAACGGTGCAGGACCTGCTTGCTCGTCCGCCGGTTACCGCAAGGCAGATGATGAGATGTCCGGGACCACTTCCCATGCGGATCCCGTAGACGCCTCGGCGCGGACGGTGCTTCTCAACCGGCCTCAGAATACCAAGTTCTGCGACAACCATGTCAGGTAGGCGTCACCCCCGAGCTTTTAACTTTTGCTACAAAGCATGCCTTGCGTGCCCTGTGGTTTTACGCACTGCTTTTTTAGGAATAGAGGACTGTGCTTCCTGACTAGCTGTCAGCAGAGAGAGAGAGAGAGGCGGGAGGATTTTACCCAAAATAATTGAAAACTTTTTTTTGTTGCTGTAAAAAAAAAAAAGCACTTCAAACCGTTGCACACCTCAAAAGTCGGTCAGACTGACTTTTGTGCAGATTTTTAATTGTTTGTTTGCACTCATCTTATTATTGCTGACCCATCTTTAGTACGCCTACATTTTATTTGTGCATGTACCATTTCAAGTCAAAGCACACAACCAGAGTGTAGATATCTGGTGTCGTACTAAAGAACACCATTTGCTCACAGGGGCTTTAGACCAACATTGTCAGGGTGAAGTACCCTCTCTTCTTCTGCAGAGTAGTCTTTGGACGAGTGAGACTTAGTTTATTGTCCTCTTGTAATAGCTCTCTTTGTTTTAGTTTTGATGAAATCACACTGAATGTTTTACTTTAGAATACTATTAGGGGTGGACGTCTATTGACAAGCCAGTTTAATAACTCACCTATTAAAAAGCTTGTTTGTATCTCTGCAGCAGTCTAAAGGCTGCAGAGGACGCAGGAGGATCTCAGTGGAAAAAGATTTAATCAGTATACGTCCTCATGAATAATTTTGGATGTTAATCAAAATAAAGATACATGTTAGAAAGAAAATTTAGAAGAAGGTTTCTTTTTCTGTTCCCCTGTTGTCACAGTGTCTACTGTGCTTGTGCTGATTAGATTTCACTGAGGATCAAAGCTGTCCACTCTTATCTCTCATGACTCAGTCAAAGATCGTAGCTGTGGGGACTACAAAAGATTCACCTAGTGTTTTGGTGGTCCCCGGTGCTTCTGCAGCCAACATATGTACTAATCTGTCGTAAGTAAGGTTCACGGGCCGAGCCAAACAGCCTGTGCTGCGACAAAGAGTCTCTTTTTTCAATCTCTTATTGTCCCAGCTGTCATTAGAATACTTTACTGGCTCAGCTGTAGTAATAAATAGAAACTCAGTCAAGTCTGATTCAGGCAGACACCAGTGAAATTTGGCTCTTGTTGCTGTTTGCATGTTGTAACTGAGGACGGTGCCATGAGGAGACCAGGGTTCGCGGTCGGTGAGCGAAAGGCTCGACGCTGCGCAGCGAGCATTCAGTGGGCTTGCCGTCATTGTCGGGAGAGTCAGTTCCACTTTTAAAAACCCCCCAATTCAGCTCTACAAAGAAGATTAAGGTGGTTGCTCCCTTGCTCCTCTGATTGGATCATGCATGGCGTGTTGCCCCCACTGCATGGTGATTGGAGAGGCGGGAGCACTCTGGCTCCAGAGGCATGGCCTTTGATGTCTCCGTGTTCCTGTAAATCTTCAGTTTGTGTTTTAAAAGTTCAATAGCACTATTGATTTTTTTTTACGGGGGCGGAGATTAAAGCCTTGTAGCTTTTATCTGTATACTCAACTCACCTCTTCTCCAATTTCCCAGATCCATCGCTTCCTTTTTTTTTTTAATGTACGTGTTGTTGTTTTCATAGCACATTGCCATTAAGCACAAAGTAACATGTGCATAACTCATGTTCTTCCCATTATATCAATGACTCTTCTCCGACCTCGGCCCAGTTCTTAATGCATGAAGAACTCCGTCTGTTTTTTATAAAAACATGTCAAAGCCACACAACTGCAGGAGAGCATCACCCCTGCAGCTGACAGCTGTTAACCCCACCAGCAAGTTGGACATTTATGCTATAAAAAAATAACACCGGCAGAAGTTTTGGGTTGTTTTCTATCTTTTTTTTCCTTTTTTTTTTTTTTTGCTAAAGCACTGGAAGCCGGGGTCTTGCTCTTTGTGGCATCTGGTATCACTTGTCTGTGGTTAGATTGAGGCTACCTTATCTGCTCGATCATCGGTGTAGCTTCATTGACTCTGACGTAACCAGAGCATCTGGGTTAGACTCAAGTTCTGAATATGTCACACAAACAGGTTTTCATTATATAAAATCAAAGTTGGTTTAGCGCAGGTTCAGAAACAGTCACGTACACTGGGCATGTGAGTCACAGTGAAAACAGAAAGCAGACAGTTGGTTGCTTGTACACAAAACTGCAGGAGAAGAACTAGAGTGCCAACAAGACTTCTTTACTTGGATCGACCATCAGGTGGTACTCTTACTGAAAGTATCAAGCGAGTATATGGTTGTCATGGCAGCAGGGGGGGAAAAAGTAATTGCAAAGCAAGTATGGCGACATTTTTAAGAGAGGTACTGGGGGGCGTTATCCATCGCCAAAGGATCGTAGGGCAGTGGAAAAAGGAGTACCCACGTGAAAAGGATCACATGTGGGCTTAGCTAGATGTGTTTTGACTTCATTATGGCGATGGATAGAATCCAATTAAAAAGCGACTGTAGGTGTTTGCATCCAAAAAGTCTCCATTTCTGTCCAAACTAAGACGCAGTTTTAATTTTGTTTAAGTTAAAACTGGATAAACAGGATTTTCAAATGTCTCTACTACCCTTTTGGGTGTTTCAGAAGTTGCAAAACACTACAAAAGTTACGCAAAAATGCATTAGTGTGGCTGTACCCGGAGGACAGTGTGTAACAGTGTGACTGAAAAGCAACTGTTGGGCTTCTGTCTTTTTAGTTTTTTGGTGTGTGTGTAACATCCCGGCCTTTATCGTTCTGTGTCTGAGTGTAAGGCAGATGGCGAAAGCAGTTTTGGGTTCATCTCCAAGGAGATTCTGAATTGTGATAGAGGAGTGTGTTTTGCAATTTGCTGCATGCAATCTATGCCCTCACGCACGCTAACGCACACTGTCCATTATGCAGTCGGAAGCGGAGGCTCTTACTGTTCACTCAGGCTGCACGGGGGAAAAAAAGAAAACAACACAAAAACAAGGCAGGCCTTGACTTGAAGGGTGACTTCTTATTTTTAGCTCATCTGAAAGCTCTTACTGTAGCTCCTGGCTATAACAACGCTAATCGATACAGCTGTCTGATCGATACAGATGACTGACAAAAAGGTTGCCAAGGCTTCTTTGCGCTGTTTTGGGGTATTTTGGGGTCTAAATTTAGTGTTGGATTAAACGTCTTGGCCTATTTATAGAGAGGGTTGTGTGTTTGCAGGACGTAATGGCTCTGTTTTGCACTCTCTGAGCACAATTTTGTGTTTGTAAGAGATTTTCAAGTGCTGCAATATTAAAACCCAAATGGACTTCTTTGTTATTCAGCCTTTAAGGTAATGCTACTCAAGCATTCCCTGAGTGAGGAAAAAAAAAATCATTAGCTCACAATTTATGCATGAAGTCCCAGCTTTGCTAAAGCTTTACCTGACTTTTCCGGCATCTCTTTGAACGTAAACAACTTTCCCTTTTTGTCTTTCTTTTGTTCTCACTGTCTTCTTCTACAGCACCACAAAGTATGGGATTCTCACCTTTCTGCCGCGCTTTCTGTACGAGCAGATCCGACGTGCTGCCAATGCCTTCTTCCTGTTCATCGCACTCATGCAGGTAAACCCCAGCAGCTGCCAGCGCTGTTTGCTCAGCGAACTGTTTGTTTGATTTCTGCACTCAGCCCAGCCTTTAGATGCTCTGTCCTGCAAAGCCTATTTCATCGCATGTCAGAGTGTGCAAAAAGTCCACCTTTAAGGGAAATGCGGTGTTATGAAATGGCATTTCTTCTCTTTGCGATCAGCTCTATCAGCATCAATTTCTCTCTTTCTCCCTCATTAGCAAATCCCTGATGTGTCACCGACCGGTCGCTACACCACGCTCGTCCCGCTTATCTTCATTCTCACAGTGGCCGGGATCAAAGAGATCATAGAGGACTATGTGAGTATCACCATAGCGTGGGTAGAAGCCAGCTTTTAACTCATTCATAAACTGGAAAAGTGATGCGTTGTGGGGCTAACTTAATCGTCGTTCATCTCGCCACAGAAAAGGCATAAAGCAGACAACACGGTCAACAAGAAGAAGACAACAGGTATCACGCGTGTGCTTGTTAATGTGCTTTCTGTTTTTCATGAGAGTGCTCGTGTGTGCGTGTATTTGCGTGGGCTTTGTTTTCCTTTCATGTCAGGGTGAATGGCTGTTGTCTATCAGTCATTATAGCGCAGGCCGCCGTGCCCCAGACAAATGTTTAGTGGCTATGAATACTGCATGAGAGCTGCTCTATAGGCTGACTGATGGCTGTGTTGTCCTTGTCTCTCAGTGCTGCGGAGCGGAGCCTGGCAGACATTTATCTGGAAACAGGTATCGTCACATTCTTCGACTCTCGTGCTCTGACTTATCTCTCTTGCCATTTCACAACACTGATTAGCCTGTTTCATTGCCACGAGCGACGTCAAATAACGTTGAAAGAAGTATGAGAAACTCTCTTACTGTGCTGAATGAATTTCAGGTATTGTAGAAAAGCATGCAAAAGAAACAAAAAGGGAACGCTTCGGAATGAAATACTTCAAAGCAAGAGCAGTAACCCTCATGAGATGATAAAAAATAACAGTTAGTACATCTGATTATGTCCGTTAGAGCTAAGAGATGGCTTTTAATGTGGACTTATTCCACCGTTTCCCACACCTATTCTTTATTTGTTCAATAGACTGTCCTATGAGTACTTTGGATCCTTGACAGGCAAAACATGCTTGTCCTATTAGTAGTCACGTTTCATGATCAGATAACAAGCGCATCTAATTGTTCTTCAGGGGATTAATTTGTCCAGTATTTCAAACAGGCACATCTTTTTTGTTGAATAGTTGCGTTTTCTCCGGTGGTTTGCAGTTCATTGAACCGAGTGAGTGTATAACCCGCTCACACAAAGCTTTTTCCTTCCAGTCTTTTTTGTCATTTCTGCAGGGTTGTGAATGTTCTTAGCGGACATGCCCATTAACTGAGTCCAGCTGTGCACAGTCTTTCTTCAGCAGGTCAAGTCAAATCAAATTTGAGCCCTCGTTATGCGGATGACAGACGTCTACAGCAGAAATTAAGCCCCATTGTTTCACAGTGACACGACAGGTGCAGGAATTTGATTCAGTCGCCCTTCAAGCCCTTAAATAACTTTTCAGCAACTTTGGGTTGGCTAGATCATAAAATCTGTTTTTGGAAGAGTTTTTGCTTTTCTATCTATTAATGAAAGTAGATTCTTTAAAAAAGTCGCCCTTGCCGTCATATGTGATTATAATAAGATGCAGGGTCAGTACAGTAGTTTTTTTTGTTTTTTTGATTGTGTAGGAATTGGCAGTGTCACAGTTTACATCCTACCCAAGATTGTCACATTTCTTGAAGCGAAGCTTACCTCCCCCCTTCCTGTGTACTTGGAAAACAAGTTTCCGGCTGCTGATCCGAGGGGAACCGACAGCCTGAAACACTTGCGTAGTTTCTGCAGTGCCTGATGTAGCAAAGTGGCAGTGTTTTAGCATGACTGTCTACAGTTATAAAGTCAGCTCCACATGCTTTGCTCTGACCTTGGTTCTCTGAAGTTATCATGCATTCCTTTTTTTGGAATTGGGTCATTTGGGGAAACTTCTCAGCTACACGAGGACTTTCTTTAGGAATTGTAATGTGTATATACTTTTAAATCAGCTGCAGAATTTCCTGGAACACTTCACAAGACAAAAGTGTTCCTTCTCTTTTCTTCTTTCTTGCTCATGAATCGCATAAAACTTCAAACTCGTCTTTTTTATTTGGCTGCATCCTCTGCTGGTCACATATTATTAACCTGCCCATTGTTTCCTCTCTGTCTTCATCTCTTACCCCTCCTGTTCTCTGTTACCCTCTGCCTCAATGCCCCTCTTCTTCCCTGCCTCATGCTGTTGCACTGCTGCGTCCTGGCCACAAGGTGGCAGTAGGAGATATAGTGAAGGTGACTAATGGCCAGCACCTCCCAGCTGACATGGTTATAGTGTCCTCCAGGTCAGAGTCCTGTGTCTCTCTGTCTGTGTGAGCATGCTGCATGTACCTCATTAATATATTCTAAACATCTGTTAAGCTGCTTTTAAGGGCTGCTGCTAATGTTTATTTTTATTTGTGGTTCATTTATTATTTTTGTTAAATGGATAAAAATAATAATCAGTCATTTTTATCTTAATTAATTCCTAAATATTTAGCTTATTATTCATCAACTTTAAATTTAAAATATTATAGTTATTTACAGATCTTTGCAGGCAATGTTTAATGTTCAGAAATAACAGTTTATGGTTTTCTGTGCATTGTTGTTGTTGTTGTTTATCTTTATAGTGTTTTTAATCCAAACCTGCCTTCTTCTCTGCAGTGAACCACAGGCCATGTGTTACATTGAGACCTCTAACCTGGACGGAGAAACCAACCTGAAGATCAGACAGGTGGGTTGTCTGTCTGTCGTTCGTACGTCTCGTGGATGTGACGTCTCTTCAAATGTCCCTCATTTTGCCCCAAAGGACGACTTGAAAATTGACCGATTAAATTTTCAAAGGCAAAAACAAAGCAAATTTGTAATTTTTTAAAGAATTTTGTACAAAGTCCAGTAGTGCAGTTGCTTTTTCATACTTTGTCTGGTTAAACCGTTGCCTCAGTAAGCGCTCCTTGACTTTACTTGTCATGCCTTTGCTTTCCAGGGTCTCCCACTCACGGCTGGGTTTCAGACCCTGGAGGATTTGATGGCACTGTCTGGTCGTCTGGAGTGCGAAGGCCCCAACAGACACCTGTATGACTTCACTGGCACTCTACGGCTGGAAAACCAGAAGTGAGAGACATACTTTTTTTCCTCGTCACTTAGGTTTGAGCTCTAGCAAATGCTCTGTCAGAATTAGGTGCTAAAATCTGTTTTGTTTTAAACTTGCACAGCACTGGTTCCTCACAGAAGACATGCAGTGATTCGCATTTTTTGTGGATTAAAAAAACAATTAGGAAGTAAAAATTGAGAAGCAACTTAAAAGTAGAAAAATTAATTGCATAAACTGCAGAAATCGACATTTATTTACCTGATTTGGGGCTAAAAACCTCTCTTTCATTCAGTCCAGTCCCTCTGGGTCCAGACCAGGTGCTGCTGCGTGGCGCCCAGCTCAGGAACACGCAGTGGGTTGTGGGAATTGTTGTCTACACTGGCCACGACTCCAAACTGATGCAGGTAAATCCTCTGCCGTGTTCTAAGTCAGTAAACTGTGAATAAGCATGAAAAATCTGGCATTTGAAGCCAAATTTCAAACTGTTTATTAATTAGGATCTCTTCGTCATCCTTGACTGGGCGAGTTTAGAGCTTTCAGTTAACCGTGACACATTCTTAACCGGGACTGCATCCAGACTAATCTTCAGCTACAGTCTTTGGATTGCTCGTGCATTCTCCTGCTAAAAATGGATGAAAATCGGTCGTCTGAATTATGCATTTCTGTTACTGTTTGTTACGCAATAATTAATTGAGTAAAACGTAGCTCCTAACAAAAGCCTTTCCAACTCCCAGAACTCCACCAAGGCGCCACTGAAGCGCTCTAATGTGGAGCGGGTGACCAACATGCAGATTCTGGTTCTGTTTGGCATCCTGCTGGTCATGGCACTGGTCAGCTCTGTGGGCGCAGCCATCTGGAACAGAGAACACACAGACGAAGCCTGCTGGTACCTGTCCCGGGCCGGTGAGACCATAACGCGTCAAGATTGCTTAAGTCTAATTATATTAATTGCATGTTTGGGTAAATCTGGGTTATTACATGAAGGAATTTTGTCTGCGACTTCAGGCGACATCTCCCTGAACTTTGCATATAACCTACTGACGTTCATCATCCTGTACAATAACCTGATCCCCATCAGCCTGCTGGTCACTCTGGAGGTGGTGAAGTTCACACAGGCTCTCTTTATTAACTGGGTATGACCCATGCATCATTTTTAATGCGTGCTTATAAAATACAACTGGTCGATTACACACTTACTTCAAGTGTTTTTTTGCTCTTGTCCTCAGGATGTGGAGATGTACTACTCAGAAACGGACACGCCAGCCATGGCGCGAACGTCTAATCTTAATGAGGAACTGGGCCAGGTCGGTTCCTCGCCCTCTTCGTAATGAGCTGCTCTAAAACATCCTGCTTTTGTTCTCGTTACTCACCGTCTGTCTTTTTCTAGGTCAAGTATCTGTTTTCCGACAAGACTGGAACTCTGACCTGTAACATCATGCACTTTAAGAAGTGTACCATAGCCGGGATAACGTATGGGTCAGTTATCGCATCTGTAAATAAATTCTCACCTCTTTTTCTCTCAGATCGTCTTACTGATATTTCCTTATCGGCCTGTGTTAGATGAACTTAATTAGCATTAGCTGCACAAAAGTTGATTAATCTCGTGCGTGCTTAATTAGATGAACTAATCAAATTCATCAACTGATTTCAAACTAATTCCTTTTGCATTTCCACCGCATTCATTACTGCAGCCACTTCCCTGATCTTGACTGTGAGCGTTCAATGGACGACTTCAGGTTAGTGACCACCTCCCCCTCAACATCAGCCTTTCCCTTTTTAGTGGTTTTTTCCTCATTTTGTGCGTTGGACTCTTTCCTAAATGTTTACCTGCTTTTATCAGAAAATTATGTCTTGTAGCCTGCAAAGACCCCCCCCCCCCAACACACACACACGTACACACAAAATAAATAAATTACATTTGGATTCTTTTTTTTTGTCTTTTAGTAATCTGCCATCCAGCAGCCACAACTCCACAGAGTTTGACGACCCAACTCTGATTCAGAACATCGAGAAGGACCATGTGAGGCTTTTCTCTTTCTTTCTTTGAAGCCAGCTGTCTTGGAGGCTGTTGCTAATAACCACGTTCACTCTGTTTGCTCGCGGGCGTTCAGCCTACATCGCCTCAGATCTGCGAGTTCTTGACGATGATGGCGGTGTGCCACACGGTGGTTCCAGAGAGGGAGGACGACCAGATCATCTACCAGGCCTCGTCCCCTGACGAAGGAGCACTGGTCAAAGGAGCCAAAGGGCTGGGCTTTGTCTTCACTGCCAGGACCCCTGATTCAGTCATCATTGAAGCTGTAAGTGTGTAACCGCACACGTCTCTGGAGTCGCAGCTACTTTTTGGACAGGAGCTGACATTTTTTTGTGGGTTTCAGATGGGGGAAGAGAAGAGCTATGAGCTACTGAATGTGCTGGAGTTTTCCAGGTAAGCTTGAAGTTGATGGTTTTCTTAAGCAGTGATAAAATGCTGATATGAGACTGCTTTGGGTTGAGACTAAACGAAATTGTCTTTACAGTAACCGTAAACGGATGTCTGTGGTGGTCAGGACACCCAATGGGAAGCTCCGGCTGTACTGCAAAGGAGCGGTGCGTTTATCTCATTATCAGTAAATTCAGATGTTAATGAATGTAAGGTAATGGTTTTAATTTAATGGTCAATTCCTTGTTTTGTAGGATAATGTTATTTTTGAACGTCTGACCGAAGCGTCTCAGTACAAAGACTTAACAGTTGCTCATTTGGAACAGTTTGCTACTGAAGGTAAGAAGGTAGATTTTGTAGTTTTTGATTTTTAAGGCTTTTCCTCTGTAAGTCAGACTTAAGTCACAAATTTGTTGGCATTTGGTGGATGTCTTGCAGCTAACAGCAACTATTTCAGCTCAGTAACAAGGCTTTGACCAGCTTATCCTCCTTCCATCCACTCAGGCTTGAGGACACTGTGCTTTGCGTACGTGGACCTGGAGGAAGATGCGTATCAGGAGTGGTTAAAGGAATATAATCGTGTCAGCACCATAATCAAAGACCGCGCTCAGAAGCTTGAGGAGTGTTATGAGCTGCTGGAAAAGGTAAACACAACATCTCTTTGTCTAAAATGATGTGTGTTGGTGACCTCCTGTTGGTTTATTCTGTTGTATTTATCCGCGACACCTTAAAGGCCGGGAAAATATTTTTTGATATTAAACTTCTTCACCTTCTGGCTGAATATTGGACCAATCATCTTGGCAGAACTGGTAGGGTTAAAGTTGTGGCATTAAATACATCGTACATTGTAATTATGTACAATTGTCTGAACTGATGATCTTGGAATCCTCAGTTGATTAGAAATGGCTCCCAAAGATCTTCCAAGTTTATGTAAATGCACAGGTTCCTTGGATTTGCCCATTGTTTTGAGTATTGATCAGTCCAGTGAGTGCTGTCAAACAAAAAAAATTGATGCTGCCAAAGAGAAAATACCAGTTGCAGTCAGTCATGATCACTAATGGGAAGTTAATGGGCCTTGGTCTCGTCAAGTTAAAAGACAGTCTACTTCTGACCCTGTGTGGATCTGAGAAAATCCAAAATGAATTCAAGGTTATACACCCAGTTATTGTTTTTTAGTCATTAAAGATGTCTGGTGTACAGTCATTCCACCCTGGAAAAACAACAGTTCAAAGAAGTCATTAAAAGCCCCGGATTATCACGACATTCAAGCCCAAGATGAGTGTGTAAACTTCAGACCACAGCTGTCTCTCAGTTATTCACCCTGCTGCATTTTCCAAGGTATTTTTGTGTCTGGTTGGTAAGCATGGTTGTGGTTATCACTCTCCACAAATATGCTACACGTAAAACTGGAGACTGAGGAGCAATCCCCCCACCCCCACCCGCCCGGAGCCTACAGATGGATGTTGGCGTGGTCAAAACAGCAGGCAGCAATGCAGGGCGGCAGCAGTGGTGCTGACATGTCAGAGGGAGAGATGACACATTTTGCAGCTTAAATAGACTGCTAATTTGGGAGGGCATGTTTGGGATATGACGTGAGGAGAGTGAGGCACGCTAGTCCGTATGACACAGTGCAGCTTGAAGTGTTGCTCGTCTGAACAAACTCTTGAGGCTTTGATCCTTTTAGTTGCACCGTGGCTGAAAGATTGTAAGCAAAATATTTGGAAAAGGCTGAAAAACTGAGGTAAGCTAACAATAAACAGAATAGAAATACAGTCAGATTGAGGAGACATGGAAGTATTGATCTGATAAATGCACAGTGTGATTCACTCATGCAGAGAACGAAATGCTGCTTGGTGGCCAGCAGGTGGCAGAGTGGCTCCATTTAGGGCCACGCTTGGGACTGGAGCTGGTGCCATTTCTTTAGGTATTCATTATGGGTTTTTTTTAAATTTGGAAAACACAGTTGAAGTCGCCTTTTAAGGCATTTAAAAAATAATCATGATTTAAATGCTAGTCTGTGCTCACAGGTAGAACATAGTGAAAGTGAATTGCTGTTTTGGTTTTAAAAAAAAGGATAAATAAGAGGATATGGGGATTAACAGTAGAGCAGTGAATTGTTTGGTGGGGAAATCAAGGTTTTAGAGGAGAGAGGCAAGGTGAGAAAAGTAAGTGAAGAAATTAAAAGAAAGAAAGAAAGAGGAAGCAAGAGGAGGGGGTTAGGTTTGACTGGAAGACCGCAAGGGTAATTACCTTCACCAGCATGCCAAAAGCCCCATAAAACTGGAGTCAACAACACATTAGTGTTAACTTGTGTGTCTGTGCATGTGTTTGTGTATGTCCGAGTGTGTCTAATGAGGGTACACGTGCATATAAATGCTGAACAAATTAAAGCGGGGGGAGGGTTATGTCTTGGCATGGAGAAACAAAGTTGGTACAGAAATCTAAAGTGAGCTGAACCGAATCCGCTGGCATCGCTCTCGCCCTCAAATTAGACGTGGATGATGTCGTCTGGGGGAAAAGAGCCCTCACATACACTCTGGTGATGTCTATTTCTGGCCTAAATATGATTGTTTTTAAAACCTCGTTAAGTATTCTGTGCTATGTTTTGTTCCCTCTCTTTTAGTCTAACTTTATTTCTTTTTAACAGAATATGTCTGCATCTCTTTCACGCTCCTCTGCTCCTCTAACAGAACTTAATGCTGTTGGGTGCCACAGCCATCGAGGACCGTCTCCAGGCTGGCGTGCCAGAAACAATTGCCACTCTGATGAGGGCTGATATCAAGATCTGGGTCCTCACTGGAGACAAGCAGGAGACTGCCATCAATATAGGTGAGGGACGCTTAAATAACAATGTGAGGGTAAAATGTTGCTTTTAGCAAGTAAACTTGCTGCTGCAGTTTCATGTGCAACAGCGTAGCAAACTGAATGTATTGTGGAGTTAATGAAATCATGGCTGGAAGAATAGCAGGCATTATGCGGGCTGTGAGATGCCTGAGATGCCTCCATTCTCTAAGTGGAAAGTGCCTGCGACCAGTGTAGCCACCGTCTGGGGGACTGCGGTGACATGAGTGGGTTTAGTGTCTTGGCAGTCGCGGAGAAAGTTGGTGGCAGACGTCCAAAAAAACAATGACGGGAAGAGGAAAATGTGAGCTGACACTTGTCGCTCCAAGTTTAAAAGCTGGGGCATCCTCAGAGATGGCGCAGATCATCTTGTCAAAGTGTGTATGAGTGTTGATTTCCTGATTTACTGCAGGGAAATAAGGCTGGTCACAGGCTGGTGAAGGAACTCATATTGGTGTGTGTGTGTGTGTGTGTGTGTGTGAGCCAGGACTGTGTTGAGTTTTTCACCTGTGTTTTGGGTTTGAGAAAACTTAATCTCTTTTCCTCCCCTCCTCCTCCTCCTCTACCCTCCACTTATCTGTTTCTGTTTCTCAGGTTACTCCTGTCGCCTGGTGACACACGGCATGTCCCTCATCATCGTCAACGAGGACTCGCTGGACGTGAGTAGGCAGGCCTCTTCCTCCTCCTTCGTGCCTCTGGATACTTTGTACAGTGTTGAGACTTTTTGTTGACTTTTAGGAGATAGTGGGCTGTGTGGTGGGGGTTTTAAGAAGGTTACCGTGGGAACAAGGGTGTGGTCTGCAGCCAAGATTGGTGGGTGGGGCTTTTTGTGTGTTCACAGGTGCAGGTAATTAAAGTCTCTGGTGTCCTCTTTGGAGAAAGGGATGAAAAGAGATGAACACTGCGCTATCGCTTCTTTGCCCCTCGGTCTCTTCCACATACAGCGCTTTCAGTGCTCTTACAGTGGTCTCTCCTTCTTTTATCATTTCCTATTTCAAGCTAAATCCCAGAAGAATGAACAAAGCTGATGTGTTCAGTCACTTTATGATCCTGTTGCTATTTTGAGATCTGAGACATTCCTTTACTCTCGATTAGATTTTCTAACCCCAGTTATGTGCTCTTTGCATTCAACCTCCTTGTGTGACTGCTTCACCTAAGTGGCTTGATTGCTGTCATGTGTCCCTGTCTTTCAGACAGTCTCCCTGAGTCCCACGTGTGCGCTCGCACAAATATAATCACCATTACTCGGTTTGTTTTTATGGAAGACACGGGAGATTATGACTCGTAAATTTCAAGTTTAAGCACTCTGTGTGTGCCCTTGTATTAGTTTATTTGTTTATATGTGTGTATTGTGTGGTAAACATCCATAAAGAGATCTCTGTGTTTACATTCAGAATTTTCTAGCCTCATATAAGTCAGTGTGCAGATGGTGTGTTTCCTGGACTGTGGGTTTGTAGAGTAATTGGATTTGTCTCCGGCATGATCCCTCCATAATATGGTTTACTGGTCTGAATGGATTTTATTGTTGGTGACGATTATGAATTTAAGTGTAAAGCTGTGCACTTTTAATTGTTTTGGATTCTTGCATTATGCTGAATTGTAAAGCTCTGACTGGTAAACTTTACTCTGTCAAAATGAACAAAGTGATATCTGAAAGCTCTTAGATTTGGGGAACTGCTGGTCAGATAACATGCAGGCCACTTAGATGCTAAATCAATTGAATTTGATGGGTAAGCATTTAACGGTAAGGTAACGAGGGTACTCTACACTGGGAATTGCCTATTAGGACACAAGGGTGAAAACTAATCTTAGCGCTGTAAGCGGATCAATCCTAAACTGGTTTGTAAAATATATTTTAGCAGACTGTCTCCCACGCTGATCGTGTACAGTTTCAGCCTGATAGGTTTGTGGTACTCCATCTCAGAACTGAACTTTCACTTGGACTAAATGTAATTATCAAAAGGTTTTGTAGGGCTAGGAAAATTGGAAATTAGTGCAGAGATTTCTTAAAACGTGCATTTATACATGGAAATATAGTATATAAAGGAAGGAGTTTGTACAGTTCTAACAAGCTTAAAGGTTAATAATTGGTGTGACCACCTTAATTTTTCAACACAGTCTGAACTCTCTTAAACAGCTTTCTTGTAAATTCTTTAAGTAGTCTTCAGGAATAGTTCTCCAGGCTTCTTGAAGGACATTCAAAGCTCTTCTTCAGATGTTGGCTGCCTTTCGTTCTGTTTTCTGTCAAGATGATCCCACACTGCTTTAATAATGCTGAGGTCTCTGCTCTGGGGAGGCCGATCTATGGCTACATACTGACGATGATTCAAACCAAAAAGCTTTAAATTTGGATTAATCACTCCGTAAGAACATTTTTGCATTTTAATGATCAAGGAACTGGCCTCACAGCCCATTGTTCATTCAGTGGGCTGGTTTCAGTCATTGTGCAAATGTAATGTTTATAGGATTGGGGAAACCTGTAAGTCAGCTGAGACCGAAGAAGTCCAGATTAAGAGAATCAACCTTCTGCCACTCTGTAAGACCCGTTGCAACTGATTTTCAGTGGAATTTTAAGCCCAACTTCCTTATAAAATTGCTCTACACAAATAATGAATAGGCTGAGGTAGGCTCAGTATCATCTAAGTTAAAGGTTCATTTTATGTGGGGCTGCAGGTCAGAAAAGAAAACTTTGTATTCATACAGAAGTTAAATTTTTCTATACATGAGAGTGAAATAAAATCACATTGCAGCTAAAACTAAGGAGAAAAAGTCTGATATAAACACGTAAGCAGCCACTGGATATTTTTCAAAGTAAAACCTGAAATATGCCAGGAAGTGATCTTTAATATGATTCAGTGTTTTTCTTTTGATAATAAATTAAAACAACTTAGCAGGAAATCTATTTTTCAGCTTCAAAGTTTGGCCTCCGTTCACTTTAATGGGGACAATTCACCCTGCTGATGTGTCCTTGAGCAAGATTTCAAATGTTCACCAGCTCTGGGGAGGCTCTTCTGTAGTTTGTTCCAACTTTCTTGTGCAGCAGGGTCAGGACAAAAGGCAGAATCTCATAAGTCTGAGTTTAAAAAAAGAAAAAGATACTGTTTTGATTCAGATGGACTTGTTTGTTGGTTGAACAAACACATTTCATTTGGCTGCAGGTCAAAAATGCAACTTACACACATAGGCAGGAAGAGTCACAGCTGGCTGACGTGAAACATAAATGAAGCGCCACGCGTAGCGATATAAAATATGCCTTCAAGCTTGCGGTGTTTGCAGGACGGACGCACTTTAAAGTGGTTGTAAATGCAACGCAGCAAAAAAACGACACAGGATGACATCCCTTTGTCATCGCTGTTTACTCATCCCGTAAACATCAAATTAATCTTCACGAGAAACATGCGAGTGCGCGCGCTGATGACAGTCGTGCCTTCTTATCGGGACAGCCTCAGAGAGCTCTGGTCGTGAATGACGCAGATGAAAGCACCGCCGTCTTCGGCGACACTTCTCTGACACTTAAAATAACTCAAAAGTGCGACTTGGACATGAGTGAATGCAGAAGCTGTGTCGCTTGTTCTCATTTTTTCTTTTTAAAAAAGTCTCACGTCTTTCACACCCTCTCTTATCCGTAGGCAGGATGATCTTTGCAGTGGATCTAGGCCAGCAGATGCGACACCCTCTCCTCTCCCCTTCTTCCCCACCGAGCCCCGTTCTCCGTTTCGTCTGCTTCGCGCTGCTGCCTCCACATCTGTCAGCGCTCTCTCTTCGCACAGGATTTGACCACACACCCTGTGTGATTTTGTAACAGCAAATATGTGCGTGTGTTTTAGACAGAGAGTCAAGAAGAGCGGCAAAATCTGTGTCCATCTTTGCGCAAACATGAGAGTGTGTTTATTGTACTTTATGTATGATATAGACAATCTGGAAGCGACCGGAGGACGAGACTTAGAAAAAAAAGAGGGGGCGAGGAGTTTGGCTTGAACCATGTGAGGGCGATGAGTGAGTGGTAACGCGATCTCCTTTTGGTCCTCCTCCTCATCAAAACAAACCCTGTGAGCAATGCCTCCTGGGTAAACGGTTTGCGAGCACTGAAGCTGTGACAAGCGCCATCTGTCACCTTAAAATCACATGCCACACACACACACAGCCTGACACACATCTTTGCCCTGGCTGTTTCTGTGCAGTCATTAGAGAAGTCTCGTTCTTATTACCTCCATACATCTGACTTTGAATCCACACACATACTTTGCACAGTCTACCCAAGAAGCAGTGGCACATGTTGCCCTCATCACCTTGTTAGTCCTGAACATAAATTTCATCCAGCTTTCCCACAATCCCCAGGCCCTCGTCACACTGCCCGCAGTACAACTCCTAAACAAACAACGCCTGTCTTCTGCTCATTCATCATTTTTATGCACGCGTGCAAATGCAGACACGCACATTTTGTTGTGCCTCAACTTGCATTCTCTGTCGTTCCGACATTTCTTTTAAATGTTTTTTACATTTTTTTTTTAAGGTTGTAGAAGTTTTTAAACAGCAGGCGCCTTTTTGTTAAAGCCTAACATGTGTTCCCGTGTGTGTGTGTGCTTCCAGCTCCAGCAGCAGAGGATGTGGATGTTTGCACAGATGCACAATATGATAATTAAACGGTGTATTAAATCTTACCGGTGACAGACTGTGCACTGCAAAAACGAGCACATCCTTCTCCGCCTTCTTTTCACTCAGCGGCTCTCTGTGTTTGAGTTTTCCCCTGCGTCTGCTTCACACTCCTCGCCTTCTGTCTTTCCTTCTTTCCTTGTATTTTTTTTTAAACTTCTTCTCTATTTAGTCGCCTTTGTTTTGTATATTTTACACTCGAAGGACATTTATCATGACGGGGCGAGTGATTACGCCATCTTTGGAGTAGGTGGCCTGGAATGAATCAAATTCAAGCGTCCTCCTTGCGTTCATTTATATAAAGGGAGAGACGTGCACGTTTGTTTCCGCGTGCGCTGTCTGCGGTAAAGTGTGCAATAAGGGAAGGCGACCTGCGATATCTCAAACCGCCTCTATGATCCTGCTCATTTTGCGATCCAAATATAAACCTGATAAAATTCCACGCAGAAGGGCCTGTGAGCATAGTGTGCAAAGAGTGTGCGCATGGAGTGTGTGTGTGTTTAGAGGTTAGAGAGTGTCTGGTTTCTTCCAGACCAGATGCATATGAAAAATAAACATTTAGTTTGGAATCTAAAATGCTTGCTAATGAGATCTGTCATTTTGCAAGTGGTGCAATCAAAGAATTACACTTTTTTTCCTCCAGGGTCTCCAAAGATAGAACATTTTAGCGTGAGAAATAGAGAAACTACAACATATTGCATTATTTTTCCTCCAGGATTTTTTCTTTCCTTTGGGAAAGTGTTAGAAGATTGTCTTAACACAAAAACAGCTCAAAAGGATCCATAACAATGTTTAGTCAGGAAGAAAACATTTTTATTGTAGCTTTCTGTTCTGGAAACGGATACTTTTTAGCTTTAGGAGCTAGCTACTGTACCTTAGTCGCCTTTTTAAACTTCTATGACTCTCTGCAGGACCTGTCTGCTCATTATGTCCTGTTTTAACTGCCAGTGAAATGTTGGCTAAACCTGCTGTGACAAGTCAATGTGCTGTACTAGTAACGCTTAACACCCCCACCTCCACTCCACCACCTCCCATCCCTCCCACCTTCATGATCTGATACTTAAGCTGGTTAAGGCAATGATAAATGTCAGATACGGTGTATAATCTGGATGTTTTTGCTTCCACTAAGTAAACTGGAACGTGAATGAGAAAATGTAGACTGTCTCCAAACACATTCGATCATGTCATGTTGAGGAAATCCTCAAAAATCAAACCCACAAACCGTTCTGCAAGACATCATTGGTTGGTGTTTTACTTTGCATTGTGCCTGTCCACCCCTGGCTCAGAATGGACCTCGTGCAGTAAGCATGATCCATATGTACAACAAAGGCAGTGAGTCTGATAGTGCTGATTAGACAGAAATCTGTGCAATTTATATCTAATATAGCGACAGAACTGTGCAAACGTTTTGAGGGGTGGCTCAGGGAGAGGAAACAGAGACGTGCAGTGATTTATTGAAACATGCAAACATACAGTATATAAGGCAAAACTAGAGGTTGTACAATTCTAATGAGCTTGAAAGTTGATATTTGCTATGACCACCTTTATTTTCCAACGCAGCCTGAACTGTCTTTGGAAGCTTTCTCGTCATTTCTTCAACTAGACTTCAGGAATAGTTCTCCAGGTCTTTTAAAGGACCTTCAAAGCTCTGCTTTGGATTTTGGCTGCCTTTTGTTTTCTGTCAAGATGATCCAACACTGCTTCAATAATGCTGAGTTCTGGGGAGGCCGATCCATGACTGATAGTGTTTCATTGTGTTTTTTATATCAAGGCATGGTTTAACTGCATTGGCAGTGTGTTTGGGATCATTATCATGCCTGAAAAATGAAGTTGTTGTAGATCAGATGTTTTCCAGATGATATTATATGGTAGATCAAATTCTGATGGTAGTTTTCTGTGTTCGTAACTTCAGTAGTTTTTAATACGATCTCCATCCCCGCTGGCTAAAATACAGTCTTCTTCGTGGCCTGTAAACACACACTGTTGTACTGTCCTGACCTGTGAATCACCTTGTTTGTTTAAAAATGCTATTTTGTGCCTGTCAAAGTGTGTTATTTTGTTATTTTTCAGAGATTCAAAGAAATAAATTGGAACAAATGTGCAGACAGAACACTGGTTCATCCCTTGAGTTGGGTGTCTTTTTTTTATGGTTGAGTGATTCACAGGTCAGCGGTCAGTGTTAAGTGGCTTAAACAAACTAAAACGATTCCCAAGAAAATGATTAGGTTCTGGACTGAAAGTGAGTGAAAAAGCAGCCAGTGTCCAAAGAAAAACATGGCAGGAGAGCTGTTGCTCAAGACCACTTCATAAAATTCCATCCGAGATCCTTGGAAGCAAAACGTAAAGAAATGAGGGAGTGGCTCAAGATTTTTTCCACAGTGCTGTAATTTTTTTTCATCAGAAACAGACATTGTTGACTTTTTAAAATAAAAATAAATGACTGTTGTGCTTTTTTTAAATAACAGTAATAAATTATTTTATTATGACATTAGAAGTAGGGAGAGGGGGTTTACTTCCTGTCCTCATGCTGTGATGAGCTGAGGGAAACGTTTTTGTCCAGTCTCCATCTCTCACACACACACCACATGCGTACACGTGCCTACATGCAATCATATACTCTCATGCATGCATACACATGGTTTTCTCCCCTAAAAACAAGATGCAAAGACACAGCCAGACACACACGAGAGCCACCTTTTAGATTCAGAACTCAGACAACCTATAATCTCCTTTAATCCTTTCATTATGCTTTTGTTTTCCTTTCCCCCTGTTTGGGGGAAAAAAAAGGTGAATGCAAACAGGAATTCCGGCATACAAAGAAAAACACACAGCCTCAGGCTGAGAAAACAAGAGCAGGGAATTTTTGGGGAGAGGAGGGACGCTTGTGTGCCGAGGGTACGCATGTGTGCATCGCTATTTGGCGAGAAGAAGAGAGGCGGCATTGTTCAGATGATTGCGTTACATGCATGTATATGTGAGCGTGTTATCTGCGTCGTCTCTAGCGCATGCTGATCAGTGGACAGAGGGGTCGTCTCTCTGTCAGTCACGGGATCCTCTGAGGTCAGACGGGTGCCAATAACCCGCTGCGAGGGCCCGAGCGGATTCTTACCGGCGCCAAATCTTCAAGTGTTTGCGCACTTTTGTGTCTAGAGTTTTAGTCTTGTGTAGCAGCTCGCCATGTATTCAGCTCTATTACTCATGTTTCCACAAACACTTCTTGTTATAGGTCATTTCATTTTACGTCATTCCTCGTTTATTACGGGAATAATCTGAATTCCACATGTAAAACTACCAAAACTGTCCCCAGGTAGAGCTAGCGAGCTGTTTGCTCCACTTGATGGATAAAACATTCAAGCTCCATCTGTTTAACGCTGGAGTGGTTTTGATTGGCTTTCCGCTTTTCCGAGTCCACCTGGCAAAATCCTGAATGTAAAACAAGTCGCCACAAAGTCAGAGCTGCGACTCTGATTTGTCTTAGCCGTCTCTGTTTGTTGGATGATTATGGATTCATTTCTCACCGGTTAATCAGCTTCTATTTGGAAGCTAAAGGCGCAGTTAACAATAGGATGTGTGCGTGTGGTGGCGAGCAGGAAGGCTTGTAGCACGTCTGCCTCTCCACATGGAATTCATTACATCCCGGTGGGATGTTTATTTTCTCTATTAATCCCTGTTCCTCTATTATCAGGAGCTCCATCAAAACTGCCCCAAACTACTGGCCTGCAGGCGAGCTGGCATTAACACAAACACATGTACACATACATGTGAATGATGCATTTAGCCCCGTCTCGACATTAGTTTACCTCATCTGTCTTTGTTACCTTTCCCCCTCTTGTTATGTGCCTCTCTCTCTCTTTCTCTCTCTCTTTTGTTGCTGCTTTGTGAGGAGAAGCTTTAGGATTTAATTACACGATGAAAATGCCTCCAGGACTTCATACCATCAGCATGTAGTGATGAAGTCTAGAGCAACTGTGAACTTTATATTGGCGTTGTTAATTGTTTGGTGTACACAGAAGCAAATAGTTTCTCCAGATGAAAGCGAACTGCGCGACCAGCGCATGCAGCGTATGTCTTCAATTTACTGCCAGCGGTTTTGACCTTTCAACAAATTGGTCTCTGTGTTTTTTGATGTGTGCGATTTACATTTTTTTACTACTTTGCGAGGCCACAAAAACGTAAAAAACCTGGAAATGCGGTTGTTTGAAAGCTCTGCGGCAAGATCGCGTAACACCGAGTCTGATTTAGAGCTATTACTGGTTATGGTGCAGATAAAGATCCAACATGTTTGGCGATTAGTAGTGAGTTCATGGTTACAGGGTAGCTATGAGTTAGTTGCTGACTTTAATGGCAAACTCAGTCCTCCCTTCTGTGTGTTTGTCCTCTTGCAGGCTACTCGTGACACGCTGACAGCTCACTGCTCCTCCCTCGGCGAGTCTCTGAAGAAGGAAAACGAGCTGGCGTTGATCATCGATGGCCAGACATTGAAATACGCCCTGTCCTTTGAGCTCCGCCAGGCCTTCCTTGATTTGGCATTGTCCTGCAAAGCCGTCATCTGCTGCCGGTAGGGAAAGCTCATTTATCAAATGCATATACATATACACACAGGTATTATTGGTTATCTGCAATTACTCATAAATGCCTGAAGTAATTTACAAATAGAATCACAGGTTGAGCAGGTATTCATCTCTAAATGCAGCAGCCTGGGTTTGACTCCAGGCCTGTGTATCTTTCCCCAATCTCTCCCAGTCTCTGCTTCACTGCCCAATCTAACAAAGAGAAAAAGTCCAAAGAAATGGAAAGCGAAATGCCAGATTGTCTTTGTTTAAATCATAGAAAAAATGGGTTTCTCATAAAAAGGGCATGATCGCTGATAATCCTGTTGAAACGTGTGTTTCAACAGCGCTTTGTCCGTAACACTTTGGACAAAGTTTACAAATTACTCGGCAAAAAGTCATTTTTTTCTGTGAGGAAAACAATGACGCTCTGTACCAAACTGTTTTACAGATACACAACGTGATTGTGCTGCTGTGGGAAAGTCCCAGTGTGAGAATGAAAAATGAAAGCTTTTCCACAAACTTATATTTGCTTTAATGCAAAATTTCTACCTGAAGTCTTTGATTTTCTTTATTTCAATACCTCTACTCAGCTGGGGTCAAATATGTAGACTATCCAAACACAAAGGCAGCAACAAAAGAAAAAAACTAAATATAAAGACAGGCTTCTACCTCATTATCTTTTCTACTTAGACACAACTAGTGTTGCATTGCCTAGTGTGGAAATGGGAATCAGTCTGAATGCATCTGGCCACAGCTGAACAGACAGAAAAATGTAAACACACTACAGCGTGCAGAGACGTCAATCATCGTGCTGCAGCCGGCTGATATTAAACAGCTGTGATTGGCCTGGCCTGGCCTGGCCCGGCCCGGCCTGGCACGGTCGAGTGAAAATCTGTTTAAGCAGGCCAGACGCTTCATGCCAGAGATGTTAAAACACGTGCTCGCAGATTTATTTGGTTCCCAGGGTCGATACCTGTGTGAACACAGCTGTTCCTCCTCAGGTGATTTCTGAGGCTGCGTGCTGTAAAGACACATTAATCTGTGACGTTTTAAATGCCCAAACAGCTCCTTTGAATTTGTGAACTTCATTAGAACAATCATCTGAAAGAAAAAAAATATACACAAGCACTTAAGAAAAAGATCCACTTCACACAGGCGGGTTTTTAAGTTGTGGATAAAGTGTCCATGTGGAGGACTTCATTACCTGCACATGTGCCAGTTTGCAAAGGTTACCGGTTGCCCACAGTCAGCAAATGAATGAGGACGATAAAAGCCTGTCCTGTTGCACAGCAGGGACGATGTAATACACTAGGCTGCTTGGAAATGTCAAAGTCATGACTCACTTACTGCCGGTACCCCTGGAATGGGCACCAACACACACACAGACACACACACACACACACACACACCTAGTCATGACCGTTATATATTTCCATTGATACAAAGTGTGGTCTGTTCAATGAATGTTTACAGCACGTTCCCTTTTTTGGGTATGTTTCACTCAGCAGCAGCTGTGATGTTTAAAAAAAGAGTTTCCACTCGTCTTTTTGTCTCTCTGCATGTGTGTGTGTGTGTGTGTGTGAGTGCAGACGTGCGTGTGAGCATGTGTTAGCCGGGAGGCACGTAATTGACTCTTCCTTGCACTTACAAGCCATATCCGGACTCAGGTCTCACAGGCCTTGCAAACAGCCTCAAGCTTCCTTTCCTGCATCCTTTACTTGCTATACCCTTGCCTCACTCCCTGCAGAGATGCAGGGAGTGAGGTAGTGAGGAGGAAGGTAGAGAGAGATCTCTACCTTCCTCCCTCCCTCGTTCGGTTTCTCGACTCCTTCCTCCTCTGGCTAAGACATGTTAAACGTTAGCAGACTAGACTGAACAGCATCATAATTAGTTTAAGCACATCTGCTGAGCCCTTGTCTGGTTTTAAAACACATTTGAATAAGCAGGCCCTCTTTGAAAACAGCTGTACTGAAAATATATTATAATTTATCCAAAAACTGCAAAGAAATGACTGATTCTGATCAATATTTGGGTGTTGTTAGGTTTTTGTTTAACAAAACAAAAAACATGGTAGGTTTGCCAACTGCTTTGGTGTAATAGTGTCTAATTTCAAGGTTCCTGGATATCACAAAAACAACATAGATTAGAAAACGTTCAAAGGCAAAAACGCAGCTCACTTTGTCCTGTTTTGTTGTCTTGTAATCTTACCATGACGCCATTTATCTTATGTCCCCCTGGGAGGTCCTATGCTGAGAACCAATACTCCTTTAATGAGTGGTTACAGTGAGGTTGCTGCACCGAGTGCCATAGCTTTGACGTTAAAGAGCCGGATTGTCAGTTAAGTTGTTTCTCACCTACTGTATGTGTGCGATGTTTCACCACGCGGGAATGCGTGCGCGTCTCAGGGGCCCGAGGAGCCGAGCGCACTCATACGCTTGGGTTCCCGACTCCACTGCGCGTTTGTTTATAGGAGGACTCGGTGGCTGCTTATTTTCTGCTCAGTTCCACCGTGAAGAGCGCTGGGAGTCTTTCATCTCCCCCGACTTCACTTTGCACAATCGCAGACACTGTTAGCGGTGTTTAGGGGAAAGGTAGAGTGAGACAGAGAGCGCGACGAGGAGAGATTTGCGGTTTGAGGCCAAGAGACGCAAAGGCGGACTTGTGCGCACACACACACACACTTCGGATGCAGAAACAGGAAAAAACAAAGAGCAGAGGTTGATCCCATCATTCAGCAGTAGCTCTCTTTGAGGTTTCCCCCCTCAAATGTCCTGTGGTGCAGGGTGTGAGGCGTGTGTGTGCGCTGGTCTGATTTTTGCTTCATAAGCATGCCAAGCAGACCTCCCGGTTCTGTGATTCCAGCTCGACTGGGACATGCTCTTTACATATTCACAGAGGACAGACCGTCTTTATGACCTGCAGACCTCAGCCGGATGCGTGCATGCACGCGCACGTAATTTCATTTTCCCATACCCTTATAAAAGCATCATATTTTGCTCTGCTTCCATGTGATGGCTCATACAGCTGCACATAACTTCATTTTTCTAATATGATTACTGCAGCACTGATGAATGAGGTGGTGAGTCACTGCTTGTGCTCAGCTCCCAGGAGTTAGGCCTGTTCGTACCATACAAACAGTCATTGTGAGGGTGACTCCTCCTCTTTCTAGGAAAAGTATTGGGCACACTTTTAAGTCCAGTGTTGATTCTCAAATTCCCATCACCTAATGCATCACAGAGGCTCAGGTAATAACTATAATCAGTGAAATGTAATATAAATATTTAATAACTGGATTTGGACTAATCTCTTGTAATGCAGCCAGTAGCTACTTTCTGCTGCCTGATAACTCTCAAAGCCACTTTTTAACTCCAAGTGAGGATGATTTATTAGATGAATCTGTACTTAAAAAGTGCCACGTTTTTTATAAAAAACACAAACATCCTGTCTTAAGATGCTGTACGATGTTTTTGTTTCATACTGTACTGTAGGGAGTGGCTTTAATCCCAGCCCCAGTATCACTTTTCTCCCACGTCTCGTCCTTTGGAGACATATTTGCTTTCACCGTACGACATGCAGGTAGTAATGACAAGACTCGTGTAAGCAGCGTGCATGTGAACAGCACGCAGTGGGAATGCCTCCTCATATGAAGCAGGTTTTGCAAACAGAAGACAAATTCAGTCTTAGCTGCTGTGTCCAGAAGAATGCAAGCACTGAAAATGTAAACAGTGTCTGTGTGTGGGGCTGGATTGCTTTCCCACACCATCTTGCTAGTATTGAATTCTTTAAATGGCCCAGAAAAAAGAAACTCCTCTTACATATCTAAATGCATAATTCACCACGTGTATTAAGTCCTGGCATAACCAGTACCCCACCAGAAACGAAGGAATATCGTATTTCTCTGACTTTAAACGGGAAAACTGCATCAGAACAGCAGCTGAATATATGTTTATAAAACTGAACTCTTACTTGTGTTTTTCTTAGAATATCCCACTTTAAATTAGCTAAAGATAATAATTTCCTCTAAACATTCTAATAATCACGTTCTAATAGAAATCTTTAGGCTTATTATACAACATCCATCATTCACCCTCATCACCACTTTTTTTCCACATTTAAGTGCTTTTTCTATCTGACATTCGCACACATTCATACTACACATAACATAAATGCTTTATTGACCCCTGCAAGGGTAATTACTCTGCTACTGCAGCAGGTTAAAGAGTAACAGTAGTCTACAATAAAAAACCGACACAGTTAAAGTAAAAGTGACACAGGCGGATAGTAAGAGCCTGAAACTGAGAGAAATACAACATTTGATATGTAGAATGGTGATTACATTTATTTTATTAAAATAAAATGATGTTAAGTTAAAGTAAAAAAAGAAGAGTGAGACTGTAAAAGAGAGTAGTGCAAATTGCAGTAATAAATAATATGTGCGCTATAAATCTGAGAAACAGCTGCAAGAAGGTTTAATACAGAAATATATGTGTGTGGAATCGAATGCCCGACAAGTGTGCTCACCTGTCACAGAAAGGAGAGTTATTGTACAGTTTCACAGAGAACTGCAGGAATGATTTCCTGAGGCGTTGTTTCGGCAGCTGTGCTGAATAAAGTCTGAGGGAGAAGGAGCTCTGCTGCCTGGAGCGGGTGAGGTAGACTGTCCACGATGGAGAGCAGTTTGTTCAGCGACCTCCTGTCCGTCACTCACTCAAAGGCCTCCTGATTCTGGAAACTGATGTTCCCAGCCTTGTGAATGAGTTTGTTGATCCTGCTGGCACCGATGCTACCGCAGACTGGTAGAAGATCTCCCAACGTCTTTCTTCACACATTAATAGATCTGAGCTTTGTCAGTATCCTCATCTTCTTCAGCGGGTTAAATTCACATGCTAGTTTGTGCTTTCTGATTTAAAGCGTTCACAGTTTCTTTCACTGGTAGGGAAAACAAATGATTACTAGGGGTAAAAACAAAACAAAAAAAACCCCATCAGATCCCAAAGTTTTTTATTAAAGCCAAACAGAAATCCAGCACAACAGAAGGAAAATTAGCCACGGCCCTGGATGGGGCTTCTTCTTATTTGTCTGCAGATGAATTACACGGCACCATAAAATTTGACAAAATATACCCATCTCTTTAGCAAATGCAGCATGACACTTATCCACTCTCTGTGGCCCTGAGGGAGGCGTCTGTAATCGGATCTCTGCACGTCTCCATTGTCACTGAGGAGACAGAACCGGTTGTAGACTGAGGATCAGTGATACAGGTCAAGAGGGTGGAGTACTGCTGGAAGCTCCCTGCACACACACACACACACACACACACACACACACACACACACACACACACACACACACACACACACACACACACACTTTAGAGCACTTTGCAGTGCTGTGTTTACTGCACTTTAACAGGTATTAGGAAACAATGATTCACTGTGGCGCTAATAAGATGTGGGGTAACTTGCTTTTGATCTGTTTATACAAATGTGCACTTACATGGGTTTGTGCATGT